TTTCCGCTGTCAATTGAGCACTAGCTCACATTCAGTGGCTGGATGGCAACAAGCTGTCTGAAACATGTCCAATTATATATCGCGCCATAACAGATACTGCAAATTCGAACCGATATGAGTTTGCGGCTGCGGGTACTAGGGAGATTGTTATAAATATTTGAATTGGTCAATGCGTCAGTACAGTGCTAGAGTAACAAATGAATTATGTCTATTTATTCAATACACAATAAATGATAAATATTTACATAGATAGCTTGAGAATATGAGAGTACTAAATGCGTGTATATGTCTTCGTTGATCGTCGTATGCTGAAGTTAGTATTTTTTTTATACAACTTAGAATGGCAAACAAGCTGACGGCCCACCTGATGGAAAGTGGTAACCATCGCCTATAGACATGAGCAGTACCATGGACATAACAGAGTAGACTGTTTCGCCCATGATACCCCCTATGCGTTGCCATACCTGACCTCAGGTCTTTTCAATTATTAGTGATCTACGTTCCTCTGTACCCTGTAAATTCACTGCCATGTCCCATCCTTCAAACCGAAATACAGCCATCTAAACACAACTGTTTCACGGTTGAAACACGAATGGGACAGAGGTACCCAAGCAAACGACTTTTGTACAAAGTCTCCCTCTGGTGAGAAGGTAAAAGTCTCACTCTAGTATAGCCGTCTGTTTTTACAAATAATAATAATAATAAGCATTCATATGAAAAGATAATCCTAGATTAAAGACTATACCTACGGTCTTGTCATATATAAAAAAAAAAAACACGTGGTTCCCCCTGGAAACCATCGTGAACAATTCTTGTTGAATTCGTCTCGATGGGCTAACTGACCTGCCTTCATCCTCACCTATCATCCTTCACTGGTGCCCCGCCGGTATATACCGATAGCGAGGGCAGGGTTACCATTCCAGTTTCACCCGTTAAAAAAACCCTTATAAGAAAGGCCTATGTTCAGTAGTGGACCGTTAACGTCTGATATGAGTCACCTTGTAGTAAATAAATAATAATAATACAATGGCTTTATTTCTCTTGGTGTTTCGGTCAGTATATTGCATGCAACAACGAGTGTACAACATATTTAAACAATTTATATCTAAAGGAAACAAAAACCTTGTCGACTATTTCATATACGGAACCCTCGGCGAGTGAGTTCAACTCACACTTGACCGGGTTTTTTTAACCCAAACTTTTATTATAGAAAGAAAGAAGTGTAACTCTTGCATCATCCTCACCGAAGAGCGGAGTTTATACCTGTTTGTTTTAGAACGATACTGCCTCGTGGAGAGATGTGCCACGTGTTTTGCTATTGCTGGAGCAAGACCATTTTTTTAATGTGTGAAAATGGCGTGGTAACCCTGCCCTCTGTACCCAGTAAATTCACGCCATATCCCTTTAAATTAAAACACAGCGATGCAAACACAACTGCTTCACGGTTGAAACACGAATAAGACAGAGGTACCCAAGCAATCGACTATTGTACAAAGTCTCCCTCTGGTAAAACCTTGAAACTTGTTATATTTTCAACCGATTTCAAAAATGGAAGAGGTCCTTAATTCAGTTATAATTTTTTATATTTGTCATAACTCGGTCTTTTATAAACCGATTCAGACTTTTTTTTATTTAAAAGGATTTACAGATTGTCGCCATATAAATATCATCAATTTTGGCTTAGTAGTTAGAATTTTTCAAAATAACTGGTTTTACCACGATTGACGTCAATTTTTAGGGTTCCGTACCAAAAAAGTACAAAGGAACCTTTATGATACGACTTTATCCGTCCACCTGTTCGTCTGCCAAAGCGTTATATTATAAAAATGGAATGGTATTTACTTCAGCGGTTTTAGTATACGCTGGTGAAGATGAGAATGTGTATGACCTATGTGGATGGAAAACATACTTATTGAGTGAGAATGAAGTCAAGTCCCTCACTCGATCTAGACGAACTTACTATGAATTCACCATAATGGTTTCCATGGAGGTTCGCGTGTAAGACGACATAACAAGGTTTGTATTTTACTGGACAAGGTGTTATATTGCTGAAGTTCATATCACTGGTTATCTGATTAGAATTATTTTGTTTTGTCTCAGTTTGGTTGTCGAACGAATAACAATAGTCTCCGAGCGCCGATCCAATAATTTGTCTGAAGATGTCTCGTTTAGAGATGACACACGTGTTGTAAAACGTGCGTGAGTAAAATGCCAGTTGCTAATCTCTGTTACTAACAATTACATCCACAGTTGCTACTCAGAATATGAGTAGCAACTATGGATGTAATGAAGGATGAACGAAAAATGGATTCCACGAATGGATAATTCATACAGACAATGACATCATTTTGTATAACCCGTGGCAAAATAATAATGGAACAACAGTTTTGTTTCTAAACAAATAAACGATGTGATTAATTGATCGTAAAATCCATTATTCGCCATATTTGGTTCATGTCCGTGATGACTCAATTTTTTTTTTATAGATTTGTTTAGGTTATTATGTGTCTTAATTTAACTCCCCCGATGCCAATCCTATGAATATGTTCTGAAAAAACTTATTTCCGAAAGGTTGTATTTTCGAAACGATGCGACATCATAGCCTTCAAGAAAAGAGCATATTTCTGTTTAAAAGGCCGGCAGCACACATGCAATGCCTCTGGCGTTGCAGGTAGCAGGGTTGGAGGTGGTTACATTTACCATCAGGATTGCTCGTTTGACCCCTGTGTTATAAAAAAAAGATAGTAAACAAGCACTTTTGTTTACAAAACCAAATAAAAAAATATTGAACATAATTCCCCGGTTACATTTTGTGATATCCTCGGTAAAAAACGAATTGTTAACATATTGCATTCTTTGCATTTCTTTTGCATTCACAATGTAGAAAGCGGTTGTTAGTAACGGGTACTAGCGGCCCCATTTCTAACAATATAATCTGGCAGGTCGACTGCTGCGTGAGCTTCTTGGAATCATATTTGAAACCTAGTGAATTTGTCACTATGAGCCAAGGGACCTGATTTTATTTCTTATTAGGTTCCCGCAAGTATTAACCAATATTGTTGGCGGAATCACTATTTTAATTTTATTTTTTAAAACATGCTATTACGACCTGAAAGTTTTAAATCATAGATTAAGAATAGTATTAGCATTCTCTTTCTACGTTTTAAACACGTGATCTCTATTCTAAATTAATAATTTAAAAAAGCAACACTCGAGTTTCTTGTTAGTTCTTCTTAGTTGAAATTGTTTGATGATCCTTAATCTACGACTGTATGATAAGGTAAAAAAATAAGTACAGAGTGGCATGTTTCTATCTATGTGAACAATGTATGAATAAATTATGTTGGCTTTGGACACTGATAACAAACCTAATTAAATTAGTTCAGTTTACAGCCCTAATATCCTTTTCCGCTTGAATTGATTTTGCAAGTTCATCATTGATTCGAAGTAGGTACTTATCAATCTATCTATTATGGGGGAAGATATTGTTAGTATCTGGGATTAGTGGCCAGCAATATAGGGTATGTTTATATTTATCTCTTACTGGTATATCTCTAAGCTGTCCCCGCTGGAAACAATACTGGTGAAATTACCAAGATGGACTAACTGACCTGATTTTTTGACTTTTGTACCTCGTCAGTGTAAACCAATGGAGCAGGAGGGTTAGCATATTTAAAATTATTTTTCAAGGAGTAGGGAGGACCTCCACGTGGTTCCTACTGGAAATCGTCGTTGTTAAATCCTTACGAATTTGCCACGATGGGCCAACTGAATGGACTTCATCCTCATCTATTAGCAGTCACTATATGGTACCCCGCCAAAGTATATTAATAGCGCAGATGGGGTAAACATTTCATTTGAGGGAAGAAAATTGTTAGTAATGAGGATTAATAGCCCTAATATACTCTGCCAGGTCGACCTTCTCGTGGTTCCCCCTGGAAACCACTGTGATTGATTTATTGTTAGATTCGTCGCGGTGGGCTAACTGTCCTACTTCATCTTCACCTATCATCCTTTATTAGTACCTCTGTGTACATCATTGTATTTGTTTGTATTGTATACTCAGTGTATGCCAGGCTGGGTTACCATTCCATTATCATTCATAAAAAAAAACTATGTCATTTATCAACATTAAAAAAATACTTACTACTTTTTTTTTTATTTGAATAATAAGGAAAATTATGCAATAAAATTTCAACCAATCATCAGGTGATGCAATGATTACAATAATTGATTAATAAATTTAAATTGTAGATGATGATGATTTTATCATAACTATGACGAAATTTATTATTTTTAATAATTTTCACGTATCATTTTGAGAGGTATTGACTAAGATATTAATCAACATATAAATTAAGTAGCGTGCATGGCCCGTGTTATTATGGTAGACTAAAATTCTTCTCGTGTGGGGGAATCCAATGACCACTAGTGGGACATTGGTTGATTGTTAAATAAGTATACTAAACGTAATTTAAAAATGAGTAGTATAGAAGTAATAGTAACTATAGGTACGTATGCTTATTACTACATATATCGGATATAATGAACGGTATAGATATCGGAAAGTAAATAGAAGTTCAAATATTATACTTTATAAGAAAGAATAATTCAGGAAAACCGTTTTCAAATATCCGCACTGTGTAAAAGCAGATTCAGCGCCATCTAAGATAAAGTTAAGTAAACAACGTAATGTGGAATGAAATCAGTGCTTTGTTATTTTAAATTGTTTTTAAATTTCATAAAAGATACTAATATATTTATTTTTAGCTTAATTATTAACATATCTAAAATATATAAGTATACAATTAAAAGTGTTAAAAGTTTTAAGAAACAAAAAATGTATAATCCATTGCATTTACCACAATATTTAAAAAATGCCGCTATGTGGCACAATATTTGTGCCACCTAGTGATGAAATTCGGAAACAGAATGAACAAAGAGAGCTAGCTAGCCACCACTAGAAATTAAGGTTGTGTGTTATCTCTGTCAGTCGTGCATAGATCGCCCGAGCGTGAATGCGATAGACTGTACTTTCGGCCATCATAACCATCTTTCTTTCTTGTGCAACTGTTTCTCTTCGGCCGTGTTCTAGTACAAACGCAGGATGGACGCCATTCGTGCGAGATAAAATTTTCTTCGCTCGGGAAGCGAGAGTTAAGTGTGTGTTCAGTGCCGGGCGTGAAGCTATGCTATAGTGTATCTGGTGTCCGTGCTTACGGTCTGGCCGTGCGGTGTCGACGTACGAGGAGCTCGGCTTCGGCCCGAGGCAAGGCGGTGAGGCGAGAGGCGCGTGCAGAGTGCAGCGCGAGGCATGGCGGGCGCGAGCTGAACGGACGGCCGCGACCTCCGATATCAGGCCGCTCGAGCTCCGCCGCCGGCCCAATGAGCGGGGCAGGTTCTACGCGGCGGAGGTTATTTTATGGGTATTTGCGTGAGCTGCCGGCGCCGCGAGCGGAAGGCACCCGAGAAACGGTCGGTGCCGAGCGCGGGCGGGCCCGCTAAGAGCACTGCGGCGGCCGAATTGCTGCCGCGGCGCGTCGATCACCTGCCAGCCATGGCCAACTCCATTTCCAATATCAAGATGACCAACCCTATCAAGGGAATAGTCAGCAAGCGTCGGATACGTTATATCAAAGACGGATTCAACCTGGACTTAGCCTGTATCCTTTTCTGTGTTTTGTGTTGTTATCGTGTGTGAATAGTTCACTCCGCGAGATCGATGTCACGGGCGATAGGTAAGTCCTTTTTGTGTCATACTCAGGTTCGACCTTGAATTCTCATTAGGTAGGTACGTTGTTCTGCTGACCACCTCGACGTCGTATTGTAACCTCGGAATACGTGTGACAACTGAGTTCGACCATCCTTTTAGATTTGTCAAGGGCATTCGATATAACCTATAAATTTTATTTGTAAAACCGCAGCAATGGAATTGGCATCAAAAGCCTATAAAATTTGTGTTTGCTAAAGATATCGATAAATATAGTTAATTTCCATCTGAATTGTGAATAGCTAATTAGTATACATCTTATATTAATAGGTTTTTAATTAGACGTTCTAACAAGAAAAACTTAATTAGATAGATCTGAGTAGTCAGTATCAAAGTGATAAAATTAATATCAGACTCCAAGAAATGGCATTTGTAATGTAGAAATATAATATAGTCATATAAACATCAATAGAGATACAGTTTTAGAGTGATGATCTTGCATAGCAACAAGCTATAATCTATATAACCTATAACATAGTACACAACTTGTGTATATATATTTTTTCTGTGAGACTGTGTACACAGAAACTATGTGATAGTCATTTTATATAACTACAGATAGGTAGCTATAAATACTATGATTATGAAGTTTTATACTGATAGTGTTCTATAGACATTAACTGCAACATGGAAATGATATATTTTGTCTAGCATGATCATGTTAGTAATATTATGGGTTCACACTTAATTAATGTTTATCAATCTTGTTATTTATATCACTACAGATACATCAATTAAGATTTTATAGGTGGTTAGGTTATCTGACAAAGTCTAAGCTTAATGTTCATACTCGCACATTGTTGTATCTGGTCATATCTCGATACTTTACATATCCACTGCAAAACTTATTAAAGTATTGCTATATTCACATAATTAAATCATAGTGCAGCCATTTTAGTGATAAAATATCTAATAATGAGATCAATTCTGAAATGTATTTTTTTAAATATTCACAAACTCGCTGAACAACTGGGAATAAGGCAATAGAATCAGTTGTGTAGTGCCATTCCTAATTTGAAATATTATTCTTTATCTAAAATTTTGTATTTTAGAAAGAGGCTTAAAGAATATTATTTTAGAATTGTTTCCATACTAAGTTTTGATATGATGAAAAGGAATGTAAATTCATAATATTGATATTAATTTGATATCAACCAAATTTGAACCTTCAGAGTGGTAATCTATAAAATTTAAAGTCTGCAAACTCTATATCAGTGTTTGTAGAGGTCATTAACCTATCTATATAAGCTATATATATATATATATATATATATATATATATATATATATATATATATATATATATATATATATATATATATATATATATATATATATATATATTTATATTAAGTCATCCTATCTGTGTGATAGCATTATTAACATTATTTTTTATTATGTGACATTATTGTTAAATGGCCATGGGCAGGGCAGTGATGTTTTTACGATGAATATTGAATAAGAAAGCTATGATATGGTCGATCACCTCTCAATATTTGCATATGACTTAGCAAATGCATTTGTATATTTTTTTCTCAATTTCTCTTATTATGTGTGCATAGTTTACTGATGTATGAATATATCTTTTAAGTGAGTCTACTACATAATTGATTTGTATTATATAAATCATAACAGGTATGCCACTAATATTATTGTGAAAGTGTAAAGATGTATGTTACTCAGTCATGCTTAAATATAGATGCGAATGAAATATGGTATGCCTATAGGATACTGTTTATAATTTATCTAAGCAAATCAATAAGATACAGCTAGTTTCTAATTAGAAGTGCAAGAAATCAACAGCTGTAAATAATTATGCAAAAGAAACAATGCACAGACATTGTATGAAGTATGTCTGAATATAATCTCCTCTAATATCTCTACATATGTCAGTAGCTACCTATTATGAATAGGATATAGATACCAGAATGTTGGTTTTATAGGCAACTTAAAATAGCAAATAAGTTGACAGATCACCTTATGTAAAATATTATTTTACATAAGGTGATCTGTCAACACCTTATTATATAAATAATAATATTTATTATTTAAATAATAAATATTATTATTTATTGTCTATATACATAGATGTCCCAAAATATATTGTGATATCCACGGTATGTCTCATGGATTGCCATTTCTGAGCAGGATGGTTGACAACATAGTGAGTTGTTTCCACATCCTGTATTTTCATGGCCACATTCCAAAAAACAGTCCAATGGGAAGGATTTTGAGATGCCATTTCTCCATATTTATGTCTAAACTTAAAATTTCAATTTGATATCACAGCAAATTCTTTATTTTAATGACCAATATAAATTCAATTTCTAATATAATAGATTTAGTTCAAATTATTGTAAATTTATTTATTTATTTTTATTTTTTAGTACATTCACTTATAGTATAGATATTAGGTTATAACAAAAATGTACACAGGAGGAAGGGATTTTTTTCCAATCAATCTTGAGGACCTGAAAGGAGAAAATGTTTTAAAAAATGAGAGTTTTGTATATAAAACATAACATATTATATATGGTGCAAAAATAATATGGTAAATAGAAAATTATTAGTTGCTATATAGTAATTAGTAGTAGTAGTATATAGTTAGTAACAGAGTATAGATAAGTAAATAAATAAATATAATAAATATATATAATAAATATTATTTATATATATAATAAATATTATTTATATATATAATAAATATTATTTATATATATATATATATCAAATTGAAATATCAGATTAAGAGCTAGGTGTTGACAAGTGGCTGCTCAGAATCCCCATGCCTCATAATCGGCCCTGTTGACTGTTTTGATTCAGGAGATGGGTTTGGCTGCAATGTCCACAACCCCTGTTGGCTATATATCATTACAATAACAAATTATTTGTATTTCATTTGGGAGCATGGGTCTCTGTCAATGTAGGAGGATTTTTTTATTGAGTGAGAAAAAATGGAATGGTAATCCCATCTACGTTATTAGTATATTTTGGCAGGGTTCCAATGGTGTATTGTATCAACCATTAACTGTCCACTGCTGAACATATCCTCCCCCATAACAGGGGTTTTCCTAATAGTTGCCACACTTGGCAGGCAGGTTGGTAATTGCAGTTTGGCTTTTGGTGATGTTTTAATAGGGACACTGCTGCCCATCCCTCAATTATAAGCTCCCTTAGTTGCCTCTTACTACTCCCATGAGAAAGGAAGGCCTATTCTATATTGGGACCTATACGGCTAATACTAATGGGGTATGATAGGTGTGAATGAAGCTAGTGACTTCAGCCCATCATGATGAATTAACCAGGAGTTAACTTTAATAGTTTTAATAACAAATTTTTAGTCTCTTATATTAACATGGTGTATTTTACTCTCAAGTTAGTATGAGAGGCTTGAAATTTTTTCCATACATTTCCACATTTGACCTTTTATTTAGACCATTGTATATGTAAGTTTGATATTGTTTTATAACCAATGTTTCTTGGGGAAAAATGTTCGATTGTGCTGGTAGATTAGCCCTGTATAAGGTTGCCAATGCTTTGGACAATTCTGTGTAGCATTTATTTTGCCTCAGTCTCTGCTCATTGGTTATTAATTACAAATAATTTGTGGTTGCTATACTTCCATTGCTCAGATTAAAACATTTTTTTTTTAATAATTCAAAAATATTTATTCATTCTCCACAGTACTGTATGAACTTAACTATGTAAGTGCAATATTGTATTGTAAATAGGAACCGAATAAAATAAATCAATCACAAACCTAGTCAAAACTAACTCAGAATAATAATAACAAGTACACCTGGGTACAATGTATACCATTCACATTGTACCCTGGACTCACATAGCTAGGAATACTGTTGTTTTAGATCTTATAAAAAATGTATTGGTTTGCATGATTGTATTTTGGTTTGAAGGGAGTGATATTTCATATAGTTAATAGAGTGTTAACACCGTAGCCCTCAGGAATGGCTATGTATGAAAGGTATCATGGGTGACACAGTATACTCTGTTATGTCTAATGTACTGTTCATGGTTAAAGGTTACAATTATCATTTTCCATCAGATGGGATTTTGTTAGCTTGTTTGCCATTCTAAGTTGCATTAAAAAATTCTAAATAGAGAAACTGGCCCCATGGTAGTAACCCTGTCAGGTCAACCTCCCCCTGCCAACCTAATGCCTGGTGAATTTATTATAATGAGCTAACTAATCTGCCTTCATTTATTATTCCTTCATTTTATTTCATTAGGATCAATTTAAAAAATGAGTAGATTCTTTTTTTTTGTGTTCTTAATATGAGGGTGATTGATTAGGAAATGAATGAATGAGTATACTTTATTTGCATTATATAATATAGAAAATAAGCAAGATAATAAATATAACGATACAGTTGTATAAGTACAGTAAGGCGGTCTCATTGCTGAGAGCAATCTTTTCAAGACACCCTTAGGGTAATGGACTAATTGTTCTACAATTAGGCATTATAATATTGTATAAATAACAATTATATACTCAGTAATATATTATTTCTACTTTTAAACAACTCTTAAATGGAGGTTTCAATTTTTATTTCTTATTGTAAGTCACCTGCTTGACTAGAAAAGTATGCACTATGGAATAAAGGCACCGACCTACTCTACCAACTACTATTTAGGATTATACTGAATTATAAAATTTTTTTAAATCTTTAATTATTCAAGTTATATTTTAGGTCCTGTTTTTAATGGATGATGAAATGGTAACCCCGCCTGTTCTTATACAGCAACATACGCTGGCGGGGTACCAGTTAGTTAGATAGGTGAGAATTTAAAAGCCGGTCAGTTAGTCCATCATGATGAATACACCTGGAATTCAGCATGATGGTTTAAAGGGATGACCACATGGAGGTCAACCTG